TGTGTTTTGTTTATAATTTGTTAAACTATTTGTATAAATATATGAAAGCAAAAAAAACAAAAAGTTAGGGTAAACTACACATTTAGTACTTAAATTATTAGTTTTGGTTTGTTTCATTACCTAAACTTTCATTTTATTTTCAAATTCATACCTAACATTTAATTTTTATTTCATTTAAGTACCCCGTTGTTAAAAACTTAATGGACGAGCTAGCGTGACATAGCTCCGGTGGACGAGTGATCAATCCAAACAGTAGAGCACGAGAATGACGAGTCAACTAACATAGTCTAGTTTCAGACTCATCGGGCGGTGGACCTTGGAGATCGGAAGATGAAATAATCAAAGAGTTTATCGTCTATTTGGGCAAATTAAAGCGATTCCCAATGAAAATGAGACCAAAATCACGTTCAGATGGTCAAAAAGGTTGCAGGATGAAAAATTTGGGCTTCATTGATCTAAATAGTTATGCTTCTGAAAAACAAGGAAAGTTTAGGTATTAAAACATGTCAAAACTGATAATTTATGTAATAAATGCGTAATTTACCCAAAAAGTTATTAGATTAGATAAAAAAATAAATTGAAAAAAAAAAATATATATATATATATATATATATATATATTACGTCTATAAATAAATCATATTATATTTTATTATGCAAATTTTGTTTTTATAAAATGTATTATATTCATATTATATAATTTAAAATGATTAAATGTAATTAAAGGTAGGTAGTTGATGAGAACAAAAGAAGGTACGCGTAGTATGGAAGAACATGGGGTCATCTGGTGATAGAGGTAGGTAGGTAGGGGAATGTGATTCCATCCCAGCATTAATGGGAAGCGAAATAGGCACCCCAAACATGGCCTCACCTCCTTTTTTTTAACAAAAAGTTTATTTAATTTTAGCCATACCTAAGCTTGTTAAAATATTTGGCGTTATTATATTAAAAATCCCACTAATTAATTATTTGAAAAAAAAATAACCCCAAACAGCATTTTTTAAAAAAAAAACCTAATCTGATTTTTTTAGAAAATTGACTCCCAAATCTCACTTTTTGCAAAAAACGATTAAGACATCGCATTTTGAAAATGTGAGTCCCATGCATTTATAGTGCTCTTTATCCATAAATTAAATGAAGTTATCTGAAAAGTTAATGGATCTCGCGTTTTACAAAACATGAGATCTTTAAAATGCGTTTTGCAGAACACGAGTCCTATGAGGACAATTTAAAAATTATTTTTCTAAATAATGATGTTTTGGGCTATTTTTCTAAATAATTAATTATTGGAGGTTTTTTTTACCTAAAATCCCCAAAATATTTCTGACCTGCATGTAAAAATAATCATATATATATATATATATATATATTGTTGTGGTAGGTGATGATATTATATACGTCACGTGATCAAAGTGATTATATGTCATTTGACACATTAGTAATTGAACACATGTGAAAATGTCATGTGAACAATATGTATTAATCGTTAGTCAACTAATATTTTCCATCCAATAAAGATTTCTTTGACTAAAAATTAAAACGATAAAATAAAAATACTCTAAAAATGAACAAAAGTAATTATTTATACAAATGTTGATGATAATTTTATAATTATGTGGTTTAGATAATAAAAATTTATTTTACATATTTTTCCATGCATATAGATACCTTTTCCCCTACACGTCACCTGATAAGCTTATAGCTTTTACTTAAGGAATGGTAATTACCTACCCACACGTGTCTTATAGTTATAGGTTAGAGTAAGTAAAGATATTTAAATGATTTTATGTTAGGAAGTGAATTATAAATAAAATAAAATAAATTTATAAAATTTTAAAAGATAAAAATATTTTATTAATAAAAAATAAAAAATTTAAGGGACAACTCCCGTTCTTCCCTCAATCTATCCATGAGTGTAGTTCTTATTGGAAGGGTTGATTAACGGTCTTAATTAAGTTTTCGGCTGGGGTTGGTATATCAATTGCCTTCGAGGCCAATCTTCTTGCTACATAACATTCTCTATTATTGTTTATGGTGGAGTAGGGCCGTAAACAAATTGAGTGGAGCTCGAATATTATCATAAGCGGAATTTCACCAAGTTCAGAGCCCCGCCAATTTTTTAAGTATTAATTAATATTAAATATATATTGAAAAATTAATAAAGAAAAATTTACTCCCCTTTCAATTAAAAAATTATATTATGAAAAATAAAAAATACTTTAACCTTTGTCTTAATAAAATCATGGTTCTACTCTTGAATATTGTTAAACTCAACTTGAAAATTCTAAAATAAAGCTTGACTCGGGGCTAATAAACTCGTAAGTCTAAAATTTTTAAAATCGAACTCTAAGCTATGGATTGAAGCTAAAAAAGTTCAAAATAAAAAAAATTCTTAAACTTAAACCGGTTAAAGCTCGAACTCAAACTCAAACTCGAATCTTAAATATATAAATATATATATATATATATATATATATATTATTTTTTAAAATAATCAATACGTAAATGTTAATATTATTAATAATTTATTTTAAAAAAATAAAATTTAATATATGTATTTTTCAATTAGCTCGTGAGCTTTTTGAGTAGAGTATGAAGTAGTTTGTTTCGACTCGTTAAGAACTCGAGTCGAGCTCAGAACTCGAGTCCTTTCTAATCGGGTATTTATAAAATTTTGATCAAGTCAATCTCGAGTAGCTTGCGATCTGATTCGTCTCATTTATAGCCCTATGGTGGACAAGAACTTGCCATGTATTGGAACATAAATGTATTTTTGGTCCTTCACTCATTTATCCTCAACTTGTTCAACGGTATGATTTGGTCGATATAATTTAAATTTAATTAAACATTAATATTAATTTTATATATAATTTTATTTTAACTTAATTTTCAACTTTAAATTTTATATATTCTATATAGATTATACAAACAAATGAAAATAAATTTAAAAAAATGAAAAAGTTTAGTCAAAGGAATAAAATCCTTGTTTTTGGACCTTAGAATGATGGATCAGCCATTTTAGAAACAATATTAACCGATAAGATCAAAGGAGAATAAATGGATAAAGATAAGAGCACTCAGCAGGGCATGACATAGACTGCGAAAGTGGCGAGTAGGGTATTTATTGAGCGAATTAATCATGAGTTAGATAATGTTTGTTTTGTATTAGTTAAAAAATTTGTTGTTCAACTTGATTTGTTGTTCATTAAGCTCATTAAAATTTGCTCAGCTCATGTTTGTTAAAAAATTTGTCACTCGTCTCGTTAAGATCGTTGCTCATTAAACTCATCAATTTTTTTTATCTTGTTTTTAAACTATAGTAAAATTTACTAATTCTATATAAAACTTAATATAAACATAAATTAGTAAATTTAATCAAAAATTATCAAAAAAGTGTATGAAACAATTTTAGAGTTTAAATTTTAAAGAAACAATCCACAAATAAATTAAAACAATAATTAGTGTTTAATTTTGGGTGTAGTAAAATAATAATAATTAGTTAATAATGTAATATATTTTATTATTTATTAGAAAACTAATATATTAATAATTTATTATTTTTATTATCTATTAGTAAATTAATAATTTTTAAAATAAAATAAAATTTTAAGATAATTATTAAAAAAATTAACGAGATGCTCACGAATTTATCGAGTCGAGTTGGGTTTTACTTGACTGAACTCATTAAGATTTCAAATCGAGTTAAAGTTGAATCAACTTAAATCAGACTTTAATCTAATTTTGATCGAATCAAATTCGATCTGCTAGCGAGTTTGTAAACTCATTAAGCAATCCTAGTGGTGAACGTTCGGTAGAATTAGGATGAACGACTGACATTGCATCTATTTTTTGTGTGGATAATTTTAATTTTATTACCCAAGATGCAGAGTTCTACTACAAAAAATATCCCATAAATGGGATAAATTACAACCTACTTACAACAAAATCGATGGTTAAACTCCCCAACGATTACAAAGGTAAATATTTATACTATCTAATCTATTTATATTCATCCTCTTAATTGAATACCTACAGTCTTCTTAATAGAGTTAACTATTTCTTCCACACTTCTTGTGCTTCATCGGTATAATCTTTTATTCTTTTCCTCCCACATGGAATAAATAAAAGCGTACCAAGCAAGTTTCAAGATGGTAGTGAGAAGGGACTTACCTTTCCAAGCACTACAGGCCCAGTCTAACATGGTCACGCATGGTAAAGGAGGTGTGTCTAAACTAGAGAGATTAAGAATACTATTCCATATAGAAATTGCAGAGTACAGTCACTGAATAGGTGATCTCTAGTCTCCGTAGCCTCTTTGTAGATTATACATGAGCCATCAGTAACAATTCCCATTCTAAGGAGTCTCTCTTTAGTTGGGAGTCTATCTAGAAGCGCCATCCATGTAATCAAACTATGTTTGAGAATGTGAAGGGGAAACCATATCAATTTATGCCAAGGGACTTTATCTCATTGTACCCGTAGGTCTTTCAAGAAATCTTTTGTTTTAAATGATCATGTAGATAAAACAGGAGTCCCCTAAGTTTCAATAAGCGCCTGAAACACCAACTAGAATTTGCTTTAACCTCCATGAACATAAAGTCTTGATCTTTAATAACATAGCTTTTGATCCAAGCTACCCACAATGATCCCTATCCCGTAAGGATGTTCCTGATAAGTTGTAGCATACATGCTTTGTTCCATGTTTTGGTATCTTTTAATCATACTTCCTTTCCAGAAAAATCTAGAGCAAAGTTGTTCGATCCTGCTAATAATTGTCTAAGGCAGAATTAACTGTCTGCACCAATAGTTTGCTATACTGAAGAGGACAGCTCTGATAAGTTCTAATCTGCCTGCATAACTCAAGTGCTTTCCCAACCAGTGATGGAGCTTTAATTTGATCTTTTTAATAAGAACTACACAGTCCTTTTCAGTGAGTTTCTTTGTAACTAAAGGAACCCCTAAGTATCACACTGGCAATCAACCATGTTTGAATCCCGTGGATTATAAAATATGCTCAAGATTCCTGAAAGAGATTCCAGCAGTATATAGTTCGCATTTGGCAGCATTAAGTTTTAGACCAGACAATTCATAGAATTGATCCAGGGCACTAATGATTCTAGTAATTGATTCAATGTTTCCTTTACAGAAGATAAGTAGGTCGTCTATAAAGGAAATGTGAGTGAGTCCGATCTTCTTGCATTTAGGAAGGTACCTAAACAAACCTCTGGCAGCAGCCAAGTTGAGGATTATGGAGAGCACATTCATTGCAAGAACAAATAAGATTGGAGAAATATGGTCACATTGTCTTATTCCCCTTGCTCCCTTGAAGAAGCCAATCAAACTTCCATTGAAAGAAACGAAATATCTTGCTTTGGTAAAGCATGTTTTAATCCAACAAATGAAAGTATTAGGAAGCTATAAAGCTTTAAGGATGGAAGATAGGAAACCCTAGTGGAGAGAGTCAAAAGCCTTATGTAGGTCAATTTTCAAGGCATGTCTATGAGAGATATATTTCATTTCATAACCTCTCACCAGTTCTTGAGCAAGTAGGGTGTTGTCAACAATATTTCTTCCTTTTACAAAAGCTAACTGGTTGCGAGAGATTATTCCTGGAAGTAGAGTTGTCAACCTTTTGACTAGGATCTTTGTAATTGTCTTGTATATAACAGAGCAACAGAAAATAGGTCGAAACTCTCTAACCTTGTTGGGATTAGGGACTTTTGGAACCAACACAATGGTAGTAGCATTGAAGGCTGGAAGGATGAAAGTCTCTTGAAAGAAGTATTTAATAGCTTTTATTACGTCTTCTTCAACCACAGACCACAATTTTTTGAAAAAGTATGGAGTGAATCCATCAGGACCTAGAGCTTTTTCATTTCCTTGGTTGAAATTGGCCTCTTTGATTTCTTCATCAGTTACTGCCTTTACAAGGTTAGATGAATAATATGGAGGCAAATTAAATTGCATCAGATCTTTCAGAAGATTATGGTCACAGTTTTTTACCCCGGGATCCGCATTACCTAAAAGACCAGAGAAAAACTCAGTCACTTCAGTAGCCATTTCATCAAAGGATTCAAGTCTTCTTCCTTGGTCATCGATGAGCATTCGTATGGTGTCTCTTTTGTTTTTCCTAAGATAATTGAATGGAAGAATTTTGTGCATTTATCACCATGTTTTAACCATTGGACTTTGGCTTTTTGTTTTAAAACATTCCCTCTGCTTCCTCAAGAGATGAAAGCTTGTTCTGTAAAATCAAATCTTGTTCTATAGTGTCTTCTCCTTGCAGAGTTGATAGTTGAAATTGTTCAAGCTCATTTTTCTTTTGACGCACTCGAGCTGAAATCTCACTATAACATTCTTTGTTTAAGATCTTGAGGCATGCTTTCAGACGCTTAAGCTTTAAGAAGATGACCTTCATCGGGTTTCCTTGAATGGATGGTTGCCGTGACTTACTAACTTCATTTAAGAAATTAGGATGAAGAGTCCAGAAGTTGAAGAATTTGAAAGGTTTTGGTCTGTTAGCTTAAACCTCCCTGTTGAGTCAAACTAGTGACATGCAATGATCTAATGCGCCAGGTGCAATGAATTCCACAAATGAGTGATGGAAGGTAGTCACCCACGTGGGATTGATAAGCACCCTATCAAGCTTCTTTGCAAGAAAAGAGTTTTGTTGTTTGTTGCTCCAGGTGAAGGAAGGACCAAAGAATGGTTGGTCTTGGAGATGGAGATCTTGAGTAACTTCTTGAAAATCCTTCATATCAAGAGTTAACGTTGGACCCATAAGATCGTAGTCTGAGCTCTCCTTTGATTGCAAGATAACGTTGAAGTCTCCTCATATGATCCAAGGAAATGATCCAAAAATTGTTTCCAATTCACGTAGATGTTGCCAGAGTTATCTTATGGTTATACCATCATTGCTTCCGTAAATAACTGTAATGATTAGGGGACCACCCATGTAAGTGCCTGTGATAGTAATGGATTGAGATGTGGCTTGAAAAAGAGAGATATCTAAATTTTTTTTCCAAAGAATCCAAATACTTCCATTTGAAGCAAAGTCGTAGTTTGAACAGGTATTCCATTGTGCAAATTTGGAATTAAGAATTTCCACTGATTTCTATAATTTAACACAAGTCTCCAGTAGACAGAGTATGTCAATTTTATTTTGAATAGCCCTTTGCAGGACTTTTTCTTGTTTTAGAGGATTGTTTAATCCTCTAATATTCCAGAAACTAATAATCATAGAGAATTAGGGCCCATTGCAACCCCACGAGCATGACTTATTGGACTTTTTGCATTTTATAGGTGAGTTTTCTTTTTGAATTTGAGATCATTAATCAAACCGTTAATTGACTAATTCAGTTAAGTTATTATAAAGATTTATTATAGATGCGATCTTTTTAATCTAACTTTTTCATTCACAACAATTAAATTCAAATCATCTAACATTATTTAAAAGATCTAACGTCTCATCTCACTAGACCAATTAATAATTATTTTTCCACTCGCAATTTTAATAAATAATTTTTGCAAATTAAACTTGTTAAAATGGTTTAATTAATTAGGGTTCATCGCAAAAACTATTAGTGTGAATGTTTAAACATATTAAACAATTATCTACTGAAATAAATTCAGTATTTAATCTTATGATTTGTCAGAAATGTTCAACCAACATTCTATTCAAACTTAATAAATAATATAAAAATTGAGTATATATATATATATATATATATATATATATATATAATATTGAGACCAACTAAATTTGAATTATTTAAAACATAAATTAACTTTTTAATTATTGTATATGGTATCAAACATCTCTAATTGGAGTTTTAGTATCCAGACATGTGTAATATAAAATAGGGATAAACACAACATTTTTCTCTTACATTTTAGTAGTTTTTCTCAACTTGAATTATGAAACTTTTTTGTCACAATATTCTCTAAACTTTGTAATTTTTCTTATATTTAGTTATTTTAATGATATGAAATTTTAAGATTGTGTCATGTGACGTACCATCAAAATGATAAATGAAATCAAGTTTAGAGATTACTGTAAACAAAAAATAAACAAATAAATAAGGACCAAGTTAACAAAAGTTAGTAAGTTCAAAAAAATAAATCAAACCGATTTATGTGATCAAAACCAAACAAAAATTTAAATTTAGTGATGATTTTAAGAGAAAAAAAATAGTTTAATGACCAAAACAGAACCGTAAAAATAGTTAAGTGGTTAAATATGTAATTTACCCTTACTATTTCTAGCAGAGTGAATGGTTTGAGGTAATAATTTAAAGTTTAAAAAATTCTTTAGGGGACAACCCGGTACAAATGACAAACTTTAGGTGGTAATGATGCATTTAAGCCATTTTTTTAAAAAATAAGGTAATTAATATTTTATTTTAAATAATTTATCTTTATATTTTAACTAATTTATAATTATAGGTCGAGTCCTTTAGAATTTTATAAATTTTATAAATTAAATTATTGGTGCTCATAGTTAATGGTGCTCAACGGTGACTCGTCGAGCGTGACAAACTCATTTAAAAGTTTATTAGAGAAAAATGATAAAAATATAAAAATTATATAAAAGTTTTTGAAAAAATAATAAAATAATTAATAATCAAGATATACTTCGATTATTTATTAAATAAATAAATTTTTAATAGACGTAACAGATCGACTTTAAAATGATTATACAATGAAACGTCATATATTTATCTTAATAAGGAATACATACTTAATAAAAGTGATATAAATTAAATATTTATTTTTTAATTATATCTAATTATTAAGAGATATTTGTTTTTGAAGAAGAAATGTAAAGGGTTTTCTATTTATTTAAATTGGGCTCAAAGTCTTCAAACCCATTACTTCCCAACACATTTGTCTAACCTCCGCAAACCCAAAACCTAAAGTATCAAATTTTGGCCATTTTATATTTTCTTCTCAAATTTTCTATATTTAACTTTAATATTTACGTGTATTGTGATTCAAATTTTAATATAATTAGGTGTCTAATTTTTTTTATTAATGTAATTAAGTCTTTAATATTTTTACGGTGTAGTTGGGTACCTAACATTTTTATTTGATACAATTAGGAATCTAAGTTTTTTTTTAATGTAATTAGGTATTTAACTTTTTTTTTAATTATGCTTGTTCAATTATGATTATTTTATACTAATAAATTTAATATCATTTAGTTAAAAGATATAAATATATTGTACACATTCAAATGATAATAGTTAAAATTATAAGTATATATATATATATATATATTAAAAATATTATATGCCTTATTACGCTAAGAAAATAAAAGTTTAATATCTAATTGCACTAAAAAAATCAAATATATAAATTCACCGTTAAAACATAGATATCTAACTGCAAAAAAGAAAAATATCGAATTACTCATAAATATCAGATGTCTATGCAATTGGATTTACATTGTTTAAGCTTTCGTTCAAGCTTGTCTATGTAAATCCAACTTATCGAATTACTCATAAATATTATATACCTTATTACGCTAAGAAAATAAAAGTTTATCTAATTGCATAGAAATATCAGATGTCTAATTGCACTAAAAAATCAAATATATAAATTCACCGTTAAAACATAGATATCTAACTGCAAAAAAGAAAAATATCGAATTACTCATAAATACTATAATTAAATATCAAAAGTTATCTATAATTAGTTGGTGTAGTGGGATAAAGCACTGAATCTTTGCTTAAGATTAAGTGTTCGAATCCTGACAATGTGAATATAACAAACTGTATTAGGTAATAAAACAAAGGATAAACCATACGAATAGTCCCTTTTGTTTTTCGGTCTGATTAACTTTGATCACTGTTTCAAAAATTAAGCACGATTGGTCCCTTACATTATCGATTTGTTCAATTTTATTCCATCGATCAATAAATGCCTTTAATCCATTAACAAAAGTCTAAATTGATAAATAAAAAAAATTCCAAAAAAAAAAAAACTATGCGTCACTTCTTTTTATTCTCCTCGTGTTCCTCCTCCGCCTTTTTCTTTTTTTTGGGGGCAACCATCTTCTTCTTACCAACCCACCCATTCAAATATTGAAATGAAAATGAAGTCGTTTGAGTATGCGTGATGGATCCGCTTTTCTTGCTCCTTCACCATCTTCATATATAATAATAAACCTTGTAATCAACTTTTCTTCCTTAAAACTACAAACTCATTACACATTTTCTATCTTTGCTCTCCATCTCTCTCTCTCTTGCCTCTTTGTTTCTAAACTATCATCTTCTCTTTCCATCGAACCCCATTTTCCTCCCAACCATGGGTGTAGAGACCATATTTTGTCCGGATCCATTTTATTAAAATTTTCCACTTTCTTCATTTTAATTAATTAATGGTTTATCTTGTTGCAGTTTTTATTTACTTTCTTCTTTTTTAGTAATTAATGTTTTTATTCCTATTTTTAAAGTGCAGTAAGGCTCATTATAATGACTTAGGTGGTGTTTATTTTTGCAGAGGTAAAAGGTTTGCAGTCTGCGGATAACATCTGCAGGCATCTGCAGCAGAAGAGGTGGACCAAAAGTCTGCAGTCTGCAAGAAGAAGACTGTTTATTTTTTAACGTCTGCAGACCACTAAAATAAATTGAAATATAAATAAACTGATTTTTTTAAACTTAAAAGATTTTTGAAATACTGAAATTTAAATAATCCATACAACTATAATAATAAATTTTTTAAAATAAATCAATCCATATTTTAAAATAAATCAATACATATTTAAAAATAAATCAATCCATATTTTAAAATAAATCAATCCATATTTTAAAATAAATCAATTCATATTTTAAAATAAATCAATCCAGATTTTAAAATAATTTTTCCATATTTTAAAATAAATCAATCCATATTTTAATGTTTTTTATATTTTAAAATAAATCAATCCATATTTTAAAATAAAATTTTAAAATAGATTTAAATAATTTTAATTTCTTTGAAGAGGTTTGAAGACCTTTGAAGACATAAAACTATGTCTGCACCAAGAAGACCTCGCGCAGACGTTAGAAGAGCTTCTGTCTTCTAAAAAACAAACGGTCTGTGAAGCCCAATGTCTGCGCGGC